ATATTGTTCTATGGTAAAGCGATTAATTTCGTTCCGCGGGGATATGGTACTGACTTCCTGTCCAGTCCTGTCCATATGATATAAAAAAAGCTATATTGTAGATTGCCTGTTTAACTTTAACGTAAAGCAATCACTTCGAAATAATTAAAATTTTCTACCGAAATTCCGAGTCGGTGACTGTAACCTTAGGAGCATTTACGAGAATTGTTTTTTCGTAATTACCATGCCAGTAGAAAAGCTATTCTTATTCTAGTGACATAATCTCACGGCATTCTCAAGAATTGGTCACACCACACCACCGTAAACTTTGCTTAAGGAACTTGATTTGCTCCTTTATAAGAATAAGGTAACCCAAGAACTAATGGCGTTTTCTTTTCTCGAAAAAAATGTCACCTTCTTATATGGCAACATTATCAGGGTGCAACATTTTAAAGAAAGAGAACGCAATATGCATGTGAAGATACTGAGAAAGGAACACGAAAGCTTGACAGCCCTGGCGCAGGGCAGAATAAATGCAACATTATTTCGAGAAAAGGAAACGCTATGCCATGCAAAAAGTTGGTATCGATATAGTTATTCATGCTGAAATAGATAACTTTAAAGGCTTTTATCGATACTATTATTGTTCAAATTTTGTGTCAATATAATATTCGATACTTTTTTTTATCGATGGTACTATCGATAACGTTACTGTTATCGATATGTTTTTCGGAACCGTTGCCGCTGAAGTTGCCTTCACCAAATTAACTTTATCATTCCTGCTATCGATATTATTTCGAAAGTGTACATCTGTCGTTTCCTTCATCAATTATGTTTATCGTTAGCACTTCACTTTATGCAAAGCTGTCTATCGAAACCAAAGTTTACATCAGCGATTACTCTTAGATCGTAAAAAATTAATACGAATTTTGTTTCACTCAAAATGCTTTCGCCTTTTTTAAAAACCTTAGACTACTTAATTTTGTATGCTATATTTTACTCAAAAATATAAATTCTCTTTTTTTCCTTTTATGTTCACCATATGAAACCCGCCTACTACAAATCCCAATCCAACCCAAAAAATATATAATTCCGATTTCAATGGCTTTTTTACTCCTGCAACCACGCTTCATGTTATATGAAACACTTTATTATGTTAATTTAAAAAATACGTACAAAATTAAAAAAAAATCAAACTAAACAACAAAAAACTTAAAACACAACTACACGCGATCTTACACTCCAACAAATGAAAATAATTATCTACTATAAAATTTATATAAACCCACGCGCCATGCACATTGGGTCTATTTATGAACTTGTGTGCGTGCGTGTGTGTATGTGTGAGTAGCACGTGGCATACGCTCGAATCACTCCACCTGGGATCCACGCCGTACAAACTTGTACGAGGAATTGAAGACGCCACCAGTGCCATTGCACGGTAATCATTATGGTCCCGAGGATGTACAATGCCATTATAGACATCCAGGTAGGCTGCATTAGGGTGGTACTTAATTTTTTGAAGTTTTTTTTGTTTGCTTTATTAACATTATTTTTTCGATAAGATTGTTTTTTTTACTTAATTTTTTTTTGCGTTATTTATTGTTAAACAATTGTTTGTGACTAACAATGTTCATAATTGTGATACATGCAATAAAAACCAAATTATACATGAGTACATACATAGTAGGTATGTATCGAAATGCTTAACAAAAGCAAATTCTCTGAAATATCCAAAAAGCTCGCAAGGTTTTGAATGATTTAGTGAACGAGTTGCTCTAGAAGTTGACTAACGAAAGGAATAACCTTTTAAAAATTTTTTCCACTGATTCTTATTTTTTTTGAAGATTATCTCCTTAATTGTAAAAAGTAGAACGTTTCAAAAATTTGAAGAAAATTTAACTTTTTTTTTTTAAATTTAAGGTATTAAAAATTTTGGTCTTTTGTATTTATCGAAATTTTTTTATTTACTTACACGACTCTTAAAAAGCTATTCTTAATTCCTGCTGCAGTAAAAAAGCTCTGAAGCTTTTATATTTTCTCTGGTAACTTTTTAGCATTTCAAAAGCCCTCTTATTTCTTCAGCAGCACAATTTGTTTTAAATGTCTTATTTATAAGTTATTATTTATTTTGAATTTTGTGGGCACTCAAACCAAGACTAGAGACTTTAACAACTACTAACAGTAAGTAATGGTGTGTATTTCTTAAAAAAAAAAAACAGTTTACAATTGTAAAAATATTAAAATTTTGCATGAACTTTCAAATATGTATACACTTTTCAACGCAATACAATGTAACAACAGTAACAACATAACCCACAACCCCATAAACTACCAAACAAAAGCAAACAACCTCCAATTACTTTTCACAAGTCTTTACTAACTCACTGCATTTTTCTACAAAATTCTCCAAACATCAATCACCGAAGGCATGGAAGACGAAATCTGTCCCTATGCAACCTTCCACTTGCTCGGCTTCCGCGAAGAAATGGATCCCACCAAAGCAATGAACTTCCAAACCTTCCCACATCAAAATGGACATGCACCCGGGCCCGGACATGCTGGCACCATGGGACCACCCGGTCATCCCGGACATGTACACTCACGCTCCGGCTCACAGTCAATGCCACGCGCCAATCGCTATGCACGCAAGAATAGCCAAGGTGGACAATCGTCGATTTACACACCAGCTCCGGAATATGATGACCCAGCCAATTGCGCTGAGGAGGATCAATATGTGAGTAGAAGCTGAAAGCGTTGAATTAGATTAATTTCACGCATTTTTTTCGTGTTTACCAGCGCCGTTACACACGCGTCAACTCGCAGGGCGGCAGCCTGTACTCAGGTCCCGGCCCTGAATATGATGATCCTGCCAATTGCGCACCCGAAGAGGATCAATATGGCTCACAGTATGGCGGCCCATATGGCACACCATACGATCATTATGGCTCACGTGGCTCGATGGGACGTCGCAGTGTTGGTAAGTGGGCGCAAATCACGTTAAAATCGGCTACAAGACAATTGCAATTATTTGCTAGGTTCTGCACGTAATCCAGGCAATGGTTCGCCAGAGCCTCCACCACCACCACCACGCAACCACGATATGAGCAATTCATCGTTCAACGACTCCAAGGAGAGCAATGAGATCTCAGAAGCTGAATGTGATCGTGATCATGGACCACGCGGCAATTATGGCGGTGAGTTTGAAAGAATAGAAAATTTGAAAATAAAAAATTATAGATTTGTTATAATGATATTTTTGAAAAAGAGGTTATATTGAAAGGCTTATATCAGATATATAGTACATTTGTACAAAAATTATTATGTGTATTTATAACCGCATCATAAATAGTATAAATGTAATGTTAATTATTTTTGCTTGTGTATTTGAAACAAATTAATGCTAATCTATGCTGTTTCGTATTTTTAAAAATTATTTTATAAAAAATACACAGAAGACTCCAGTGAGGGTGAGTGAAAATTTAAAAAAAAAAAATTGGTTTGTTTTCAAAATTTCTAGAATATGCAATTTATATTATCTATTTTTCGAAAGTTTTCATGCAAATCTTTAATTTGTAAACAATTTCCCACACATTTTGAACGAAAATTTCCCTGTTTTAAATGTTGTCGTAATTGTAAAAGAAAATATTTCTTCTCAATATTATTAGCACTAATGTTCCCAAAAACGCATATTCATACTTTTCAAAATTATTATTGTCGCACACTCAAAAACGTCATTTACCAACGCATTCACTAATCTATCCTTGCATTCATTTCGCCTAGAAGGTCATAATGCGTTGGAAGTTTGCTCATTTTTCATAAGCCCACTTCTCAACAATTACGGAGTTTTAGTTATTAAGTTATGCCTACACACATACATACATACCTATAAATATACACAGGTTCATACACATTATATTGTAAAAAAAAAATGTAATTTCCCAAAAGAAAGCTTAGTCCGAAAATTCCTTTCTAAATGTAGGCTTGTGTTAATATAAAATCTTACTTTAAGTCAAGCCCACTTTTAGTAGCCATTTTTCATATTACACAAATATTCCCAGCTCATTAATCCCATCAAACAATTCAACGAATATACAAATCATTTGAGCCCCTGCAACCATCGAGAATCATAACATCGTATATGGCTACCCAAATACGCATCATTGAAACGCATTTCATGCGCACAATAAATTTATTTTTTTTTGTAAATTTTATTAATCCATACTCGACCAGTGTCTTCAAATATTCATACTGTGTTTTGCTAAAAAGTGTTAACCCTTGTGTTTTGTTTATATGTTTTTCAAAATTTAACATTTGTATATTTTGGTTACAGTTTTAATTATTGCAGGGTTGGGTTGAAATCATTTTACAATTTCCTTCACCATAATTTGCACCATTTCATTTCGTTTCATTTTCAAAGCACATCGTGTTCACATCCTGTATTTTATGTTTTTGTTTCTGGTTCTTGAAAATTCAACAAATTTTACTTTCACTCATATATCTGTGACTAAAAAGTGTGGGGGTTGTTTGTTAAGAAAATTATGAATTTTATTTTTTATTGACACATACAAAATTTCTTATTATTATTTTTAATTTACATAATTTTATTCATTAAGTCCATTTCATATTGTACATGGCATCAGCATGACTTCCTTTCATATTATAGAATTTATTTACTAAATACATAAGTGTGTAGTTGTAAAAATACAATTTTTATTTGTAGTGTTTAGCGCCAGAAAATCGAACATCGATGATCCAGCTTTTTTAAATGGGTTCCAAAAACTTACCAAACCGGTGGTTTTGATTTCCAAACAGGAACGGAGCATTATTAAACATATTACCCTAAACTCGAAAGTGTAACCATTATTGAACTGTAAAACTTATTTCAGTTTTTCTACTTCATTCTACTTTTTATTTCAATCAGTTCTTAAGGCTTGTTCTCACTGTTTTTTTATCTTCTTTATTTGTCGAAAACGTTTGCATAGATAACGAACCACTACGGATTAGTTTTGGTATTAATCGACATAAATTCAGAAAAATGTAAAAAGTAAGTCCTGGCTGCAGGCAGTTGGGCGATACTTCGATTGCAAAAAGTTCGTACGACTGGTGTATTCTTGTCTTAAAAGCTTCAAACGCGAATATCTCATAAAGTTTTGCACAATTTTTATAAAAAATTGTGGGTCTATAGAGCTTGCCTGAACCTATCTTTTAAAGACTTAAGAATGTTTCTACAGCAAATCTTTATACACATTTTTTGGGCTGAAAGAAAGACTTGAGGCGCGATTTTTCAAATTTTTTTCTACAAAATCTGTATAGAACATTTTTTACAAAATGTGCCCGAAAATTATTGGTCTGGAAGAAATTTTTGACTAGTAAATCCACCCGATGATTGAAAGTTGCGCACAAAAATTCCGAAAAATTCATTTTTGTCTTAAAAGCTTCAAATATAAATATGCTCGTCCTATGTGGGAAAGTGTGCTCCCTTAACTAACGATTGTAATCGCAGTGGAAACCAGCCTTAAGATTTGTGCATGAAAATTAGGAATGTAATAATTCATTTTTAGTGGAAATGTAAGGCAACAAAGCTCACACCTAAAATAGAAAAAAATAATCACCACTATCAAAAATATGGAAAAAACGTTAAGTTAAAATTTATAAAATCCGTATTGTGTTACATACACATGTGGCCAACTAATTAAGTTAATGACATTTTGATAAGTTTAGGGTCTTTTTATTTTGTTTATTTATTGTTTATTATTATTATTTTTTTTTTTAAATAGCACATTACAAACTTTGTTCAAAAATTATACAATATAAAAAAATGTTCACTAAAATCTTTTATTCAGACTTAAAAAAATGGCTTGGCAGTTCTATAGCCCATTAAATTTAGTACAGTAAATTGCAAGTTTAAAGGGGTTAGATATTCGCGTTTATATTTTTTTCTTGAGCATTTTCCTCATTATATGTACAAAAAGTATGCCCGAAATTTTTTTAAATGGAAGAAAGTATTGAAAATTATCGCGAATTCTCGCCACTTCAAACTTGCACCTTGTTATACACACATTTGATGAGCTATAAAACTTTCTAAGAATTTCTAAGAATTATGAGTTTCAATTTTTGGTGACAATTTTTTTGAATTTGTGTACAAAGCTTCAAATGTAGATTTTCATGGCTTTTATTATACATATAATAAACTACACTTTAACACAAAAATTTTATAAACATTAAATAATAAAAAAATAAATAGGCAACATTATTCAAGATGTCACTAGCTTAGTTAGTTGATCGAAGGGGTATTTACCATAAACATTCATACATTCTTACATTATTTCTGTTAATTTTAAGAAACTCGCAATTTGCATGAAGTAAGGAACCATTTAAAAAAAAGCTGGACTCAATTGTATTTTTTTTTCAGAATATGCAAATGGAAGTTAAAAAGTTCGTGAAAAAGTAGTTTTGTCCATAAGAAACGCGGTTTTTATAAACTGACTCAAAATGTTCACTCTGATCTGTGCAAGACGACACAAGAAGAACGATTATTATATTTTATTGCTGTTGACGTTCGCTGCTATCAAATTTTTAAACCTTAGCAATTTATATTCGTACACGCGATAATGATTGCGATTTTCTAATTTTTGTATTATCTTTCAATCGCAAATTTGTATAGTCCACACAAGACTTTAAAATAGTTCCCACGACAGTCGGGTCCCCTCTCGGATTTCAATTTATCTTTCAATCATATCTGGACACGTTCTTTCATGTTTTCGTTGTTAGAATTTGAAACTTTCGTTGAAAGACTTCAAAGCAACTAAAATAAGACAAATTAAAAAAAACTGGTATGGATGCGATGAAAAATAAATGGAAGCATGTTTCAGGTTGAATGATTTAAACAACATATTCTTAATCTAAGGAGGAAATACTATAGGAATCAGCTCTGCCGCAAATTTTTGTTGACCAGTGTTATCAATGTATCCAGAAGCGTTTAAATGTCCGTTTATGAATGCAAACGCCTAGGTATGAAATTCCATCCCAAATGGAAACCTCTATCTGGCCAATACTGTATCTATGTACTCTTTCTAAAGAAATGAATCGTTTGAGTTTATGAAATTTAATTATTGAGCTCATAATCGATTTATGTATGTATGTATGTATATCTCTGATTTTTCCGCAGATCGCCTTAAGGGCAGAGCTAACTTGCATTAGCGATTCAATGTATTTCACGAACTTTTTAGCTTTCAAAATTGGTAGGAATATGAAAATATTGAAAATTTAGTTGCACAAAATTCAAATTTTGTAATCAATTTGGAAAATATGTGTTATGGAATTTTTCAATATGGTCGAAAATATGTTTCAATCAAATAACTTTTATTTAAACAGTCTCACGAAATTTGGAAGATTAAGCTCATTTTAAAATGATTGTGAAAAAAAATAAATTAAATTAGGCATTTAACTTCTTACCATCATTTCTCATTAAATCTTCCATGAAAAATTCTATAATACATCATATCGATTTTCCAATTTTATATTTATGTAATAGAAGTAGCATAACTTTTTTTTGTTAATTTATTGATTATAAATTTTCTTTCTCCTTTTTATTTTTATCATTTTATTACGGAACTTTTTCATACCGAAACTAAATTGTATTTGTGCTAACGGTTGGGAAACAATTGATTCACAAAACTCAAATATCTGCACAAACAAAAAAAAAATAATAATAAATAAAAATTTTAAATGTAAGCAGCTGTCAAAAGATCCCCACTACAAAAGGATCAGCGTACAACTGAAGAAATGCGCAAACTGATTGAAAGGTAAAGTATGCAAGACACGGAAAAAGCACACCAAACAATTATAAAAAAAAAATAAAAATATTTTATAAAGTAATTTCTAAAATTTCTAAAAGTTAAAGCTAGGCAATTTTTAAGCGTGCAAAAATTTATTTGTATTAATGTAGCAAGCGTGTAAAGCATAACTTTGATTAAAGTAGAAAGTTAAAATTAAAATTTTGAAAACTTTGATATTTCGCAGTTAAAAAGCACAAGTTTGTGAAATTTATTGAAGGCAAATATTTTTTGCTGAGGTTATCTCGTAAAATTAGTTGAGTTGCATTTGTGTTAAAGTTCTTCAATTTAAATATGTATTATCACAGTAGTTTGATTAAATAAAAGTAGGAGTAAAAAATCAGGCTTATCGTGAATTCCATGTGAAAATATTCTCAAACGATTTTACTAAGTTCGTTTATTCATATGGAAATCGCGAATATGTAAAACTTGTTCGTTTATTGCAAAAATTTTAAACATTCTATACTTTTCTACTTGCACTAAAGTTCAATAAATATTCTTTCAACTTAAAAAAATGTCGAATACTTTAATTTGTTACTTAAAAATTTCAAAAAATTAGCTATGAAAGTTTGAAATACAGCACAAATTATGTAATTATTAATTAAAATCAATTTCTTATTGGGTATTTTTTTTGTATTTAATCCCTGATCTACATACAACTCTCACTCACTTCTACTATGTATGTAAACTACTACTCGTACTACTACCAATTCTACTACTATATCTACAAAACTACTCGTACTTACCCACCATAGTCGACGGCCATTGTAAGTTTGATTATTTTGTTTGTATAAAAAAAAAATTAAATTAAAAATATATGAATATCTAGTACATCAGTACTTACTAAATATGTATAAAATATAATAATATTTGTGTGTTTGTTCTTTGCATGCGTAGCCACATAGTAAGATATGACTAAATGGGTAAATTAATTTTATTTTTGTAGTTTAGTTAAAGACATAATACATGTTTGCATGTTTTTGTTTTTGATTTGATGTTTGTATCTATTTTTAATTTTTGTATCTTAAAAAGTATTGTACATTTACTTTTGATTATTTTTGTTTATGGTTTTTCCTTGTATTTGAGTTAAACGGCAAATCACAGTTTGATTATTGTAAAAATCCTAATAAATATATTTTATAGATATAAATCTATAGTTACTCGACCAATGCTTTTCTAAATATGTAAGAATATTATTATGTATTGCAGCTTGTAACACATTTTCACAAACTTTTGAATAAGTTGCAATTGTATGTTTTAATTGTTGAGTAAAATTGAATTGATAGAATATCAAACATTAGATACACCGAAAAATGCAAAATTAAAACAAAAAATCGTTATAAGTATGGTTTCGTTTTTTGATGTGAGCAGTTTGTTATGCCGAGTATTTTGTTAACGAGACTTTAACTGCCATTTTATCCCAAGCTCAAAATTTCTTCGTTATATCTATAGGGCATTCTTGTGAGAAAATTTTCGCAAGAACGAAGTTATTTCAGAGGACTAGCAAACATTTTGTTGTGTCAAGTTTTTTGTTTTATCACGGTTTGCTCCATCGAGAGTTCACTGTAATATAATAATTAGATTTTTCAATACTATAATGCTACCCATGTAAATAATAAAAAATTTGTCATTATATTTATCTCAAATTTAGATTTAGATTTGTTCAAATAATAATTTTTTTAATATCCCGCAACAACGAGTTTTTTTCAGAGGACTCAGCAAACATTTTGTCCTATTGAGTTTTTTGTTTTATCAAGGTTCGCTCCATCGAGAGTTTACTGTAATATAAAAATATGATTTTTCAATATTAAAATGCTACCAAATGTAAATAATAAAAAATTTGACCATTATATTTATCTCAAAGTTAGTTCAAGATTTGTTCAAATAACTAATTTTTTAATATCCCAAAAATATAACAAACAATCGCTATCAAAACCAGCATTCTTTATAAGCGATTTTTACTGTAGAGATTTAACTCATATTCCCAAGTTCACTTTAGATTTTTTTTTACCGAAATTCAAGAGTTAACTGCCAAACGTGTACTAACTCTCCACTGTGTGAAATTGCCTTTAGGGTCGAATATGACACTTCATAGCGAGAATCTGAATAACCTGAACACGGTTTTGTATTGCCGAAAATGTTTTTATGGCATATTTAGATAGAGATAGAGAGTTAGTTATAGCACTGCGATCGGTAGATCTATTATGGCATACAGGTATGAGAAAAATATAAATTTCCATTATTTTAAACGTCTCTTTAAGATCCAAAAACCGAAATTATTTAATAGGGGTATTCACAGCTCGTAGTATACAAATCTGTTTAGATACTCGAATTCGAGAGATAATTTTATATAAGCATCACATGGAATAGCCCTAGGTAAAGCTTGCCTGCTATATTTTAATATTAGTACTTTCTATCGAAAATTTGGAGCCTCTTAAAACACTGTATACACAAACTTTCGTGTTTTGTATTGAACATTTTATTGTGGGTGTTCACACTAGCCTGGTTATCAGGTTATTTGGCTTAAAGTCTAAAATAAGTAAGTTTACGCGTTATAAACTGCATAAAAAAACGCATAACCAGACAGGTGTGAACACCCACATTGTATGAATCCAATATATAGCTGTAATTATAAATATGAGCAAGTAAAAAGTACTTACTAACTATATATAGTATGCATTGAAGAGTTAAGAATGAGCTAAATACTGTAAAAATAATACATACCACCTAAAGGTGAAAAGGTGCAAAGTCCATATTTTTTCAAAATTTAATTTTGGATGCAAAATGATAGGTAATACGAAACTACATCAATTTTTCGTCTCTCCTGAAGAACTAAGAAAAACATGGACTTGGCACCTTTTCCCACTTAGGTGGCGATATATAAATTATTAAAATTGTAATCACTTCTCACATGCATTCCATAAATTTGTGTATGTAAAATAATGCAATTTCCAAGTTTACTAATTATTGCTTTTCTCTCTCAACTCGCCACACTTTGGCCCAATCAAAACAGAAACGAAGCCGGTCCAAAACAACTCCAACAACAAAGTGGCGCAGGATTCACAGCCTACGATACTATGGCAGTGTAATTTGTAAACCGTTAGCTGTAGTACCAACGATAACCACAAACACAATTTACTAGCACAACAACAACTAGCAGAAAAATGTAAAACCTCCCAGCTCCACTAGTCACAGCAGCAGCAGCAGCAGCAGCGAAAACCAAAACAAACCAAATTTTTTCTTTCAGTGGATTAGTTTGGTGAAATACATAGAGCAGAAATTAGTTGAGTATTATGTAGCGTGTGAGAGATATTGCTGAGGGGGAGCGAAGAATGGAGAGCGGGGTTTGACAAATGTATGTACATACTCTCCAGCTCTACTCAAAATAGTTAGGCAGCGCATGGGAGAAAGAGAGCGAGTAATATAAGTGAGTTACGGAGAGAGGAAATGTGTGAGCGGGAAATTGAAACAAGAGAGATGACGGGCGTAATTTGTGCGAAAGAGATAAGTACCATATATATATGTTATTTGGGCATACATATATACATAAAAGAACATCACATTAAGTGTAAACGAAAAAAAAACTAAGTACGTGTATACAAACACTCTCGCTCTTTTTCTATAAAAACTAAATACGTAACGAAGAAAATATAATGAAAAAGATGCAAAAAAGAAGAAAGTAAAATCATAGAAAAGTTGCTGAGGAGTTGTATGACGAAGTTCTAAGAAAAATATTGCATAACTACATAAACATATATGAAACGCATTTATATTATACAATACATACATATAATTATGATTAATATTACTACAAAAACAAAAAAAACACAAACGAAAAGCAACTTCATATATGATTATTAAATGTTCTATAAAAGTGCAGAAAAGCAGATGGAGANAAAAAACACAAACGAAAAGCAACTCCATATATGATTATTAAATGTTCTATAAAAGTGCAGAAAAGCAGATGGAGAAAGTAAGAGCAAGTGAAAAACAACTACTTCATTAAGACGAAAACACCAGTAAAATATTTTACAACAACAACAGCAACTAATACAATGATGCATAGTTATTTGTTGTTTATTTGCTGTATGCAAAACAAAAACCAAAAACAAATTTTAATTTTTAAATTAAAATTTAAACGAAACAAAGAAAATAGGATTATTTTACATAACTTACTCTACATACATACATACATACATGATATACAAGTTCATGTGCGTATGTAATGATATATGTACACTCAAGCATTTATTGTAATTAAATAGTTGAAGCAGTTAGGAATGTGAAACGAAGTAGGAGATGTAATGAAATCAATCAAGTTTTTTATGAGCCATACATTTTTATTATCTGTAATTAAATTTAAGTGTAATGGAACGAACAAACAGTCATAAGACAAAATACACAGAGAAAAACGCTGAGCATAAACAAAGGCAGACAAGCAAATTTCATGCAAAATCGACGAGCGAATTTTTTTTATTTAGTAAGCTTTCTACAAGTACGTACATACATAATGAATAGAGCAGTATCAAGTGTTTGCGCAAACTTTGAATTTGTCATTTACAATATTCTTATGTTAAAATGCAAATTTTGATACAAAAAACTGTGCAAATTGCTTTGTAAAATTTTGCGCAAATTAAAAAAAAAAAAATTAGAATCCGTTTAAAATTCTCTGAAATTCATTGAACTAAAATTGTATTTTTCAATTAAGTGATTCGGTACATAATTGGTTAGCCAATTACGAATGAGAGCGCGAATTACACAAAGTTTGCAAATTTTTAATTTCGTTCCAAAATGTTTTTTAATTCCTCCGAAATTTTTTTATTTCAAATTTATTTGTTTGACGTTATGAATGTTGCTAAAAATCTGAAGCTTTTTTAAAGTTTGTGCAAATGCATTTTTTCAGAGTTTTTATTTTTTCCCCCTTTTGAAGTTATCGCAAATGACTTTTTACTACTCTTCAACTCTAAGCTGTAAATAAAAAAATACGCCAATAGCATGTGAAATTTTTCTCCATATTCCCTACTTTTCGAAATTTTCATCAAAAAGAAAAAACTAAAACTAAAGTTTTTTCTGCGTGTTCTGCTGTGCTTCATAGTAAAAATGCAAAATGTATGAGTTTAAATTTCCATAAGTTTTAAAACCAATTCGCCATTTTACAAAGCAATTAATGCAATTTTTACTTCAAATAAGTGTGAGTAAGCACTTTTTAATTTCTTATATTGAATTATTATTTTTCTTTTGCTTTAAAGGTACTATTATCTAAGTCAAACAGTCTCGCAACTGTTTGTGTCCTATTAATTTTAAGGTTGTATTAAAAAAGGAATTATACTAAGTTAAGAAAAGTAAAAAATTTCGCATAAAATTTGTTTATGCCTAGGACGAAGTGGGATTTTATTTAAAATAATTTTATTTTGTATAAAATAATGACTTTATTGCACACATTTATACGGTTTTATAAAACGAAAAGTGAGAAGCGCTAGGTTGCACTGAGAAGAAAAAAAAACTGTATTAAGCAAATGATACTGAATTGGTATAAATAATAATTTCACGTATACGATATTTTTTCAAATTTATATTATATGCGATTTTTGCAAATTTATATTCTTTAAAATATACATTTTCATTTCAAAACTTCGGTATTAAAATTTCTAAATATTGATTGCGTTAAATCTCTATGAGTTTTGCAACTTGTTAAATGAGTGATATTAGCTTTGTTTTCATGTGTAAACAATGAAGTCATTAAGTTTTAATTTTAAGCTGAAACAAGTAGCGGTTGATAAATTGTTATTTGCAATTAGCAAAAAAGAAAAGTTAAAATTATTTTCATTTGTATTTTTACTGTCATATATATATTCACAACTGCACTCACTACTCGATGAAGTGGGCATTTATTTCCTGACTGCATGCAATTTTTAACCGACTTCCAAAAAATGAGGAGGTTATCAGTTCGTCGGAATATTTTTTATTTTTTTAATGTATGTTACCGCAAAACTTTGGACCACGTCAACCGATTTCGATAAGAGGTGGTCCCATACTAATCTGGTTAAGATCCGATCAGCGGATCATGAGATATATATATATATATATATACTTTTTTTTATATGAGAGTTGAAGTCGGTTTTTTTTTGCTAAAAATTACTTGTTTTAAGTCAGTTGTTTTTTTGCTAAAAATTACTTGTTTTAATTTAATTTTTATGTCAAAATTTTCGTTTTTTCTGAGGTTTTAAAGGAAAACTAATCAGCTCTGGCATGCCAATTTTATACACTAAGAAACTTTTTTCAGTCACTCGCTATAGTGCCCACTCACCGTTTTTTAGTATTTTACTACCTTTATTCCTAAAGCGCAATTAACATTTTTATTCATAGCTTAAAACGTTCTTCCAATTTTTACTATTTACTCTTTACTTTAAAACCTTTGAGTTATCGCATAGTTTTTAGAGACAAAAAAGCGACATACACATTTAATGCTATTTACATATATGTATGTATATGTATTCTCAAATTATAGTTATTTAATTTTTTTTAGTTTAATAAAATTTTTTTAGGAGTCTTAAAAAACTTGCACCCTCATTGCGAGAGTCGTGTCAAATGTCAGTCGTTTTTCGAGAGTCGAATCGTATCGAAAATTGCACGTCATTGCCTAAAATTTCCACTCGACTAGTGTATTAANCGCATAGTTTTTAGAGACAAAAAAGCGACATACACATTTAATGCTATTTACATATATGTATGTATATGTATTCTCAAATTATAGTTATTTAATTTTTTTTAGTTACCAAAAATTTTTTTAGGAGTCTTAAAAAACTTGCACCCTCATTGCGAGAGTCGTGTCAAATGTCAGTCGTTTTTCGAGAGTCGAATCGTATCGAAAATTGCACGTCATTGCCTAAAATTTCCACTCGACTAGTGTATTAAAACGGAAAAACTTGGCAGCACTGTATAGTTTTCGATGATTTTGGTCGTTTACTTATTTCATTACGACAATAGACAATGCTACTGTTGTCGAGTCGTACAATTTAGCCTAATTTACGACCTACGCAATGAGGCTGTTGATTACGCACAAATTACCCAACTAATTCAAGCTCTTCCTTCAAAAACGTAATACAAATTTGCGAAACTGTCCACTTCCTTGTCAAGTGTTCGATTTTGCGTAGTGAAAAATATTTATGAACGAAAAACAAATTTAATAAAACTTCCACTTTTTGATATAATTTACGCACTCAATGTATACAATTACACAACACAACTTTTTACATTGCGATTTGTATCATACAAAATCCCCACCACACTTTCTTTCTCCCCACTAGAAATGCACTTTAGTTAGCTTTAAAAAATTATCAATTTAGAAATTTTGATTTTTTTATTAAAAAAAAATTAAACATTTCAAATGCTTAGGTACTAAAGTGTGTTTTTCAAATTTATAATTTATATACTGTACGTTGAGTACACTATTGTTTTTAAGATTTATTAGTTTTAAGCTATAAAAAATCTGTTTTGAAAGTTTACCATTATGAGTTAAGCTGTATCCGAATTTTCGTTTTTGTAAAATTTAAAATGCTTTACTTGCTAAAACAATATACATAAATATTATTTCGACTTTTTCAATTAAAATATTGTGTTTTATTTATTTAGGTATTTAATATTTTTTTCTTTTCAAATTAATGTTTTTAATTTAATTTTTTCATTTTGGAAATATTTTTTTTAACTATTTTAATTTAATAAAATTATTCTTAATGATTTCAATTAAAAAAAGAAATAGAAAACAAAATGCTTTACTTACTAAAAAATACAGTTTTTTTATTTTTTATTTGGCAAAACCATTCATTTTTAAATGACTCCCAAGCACGTGTCCAAATACAAAGACTGAAAATATTTAATATACAAAAACAAATCTGCAAGAAAATTGTGAAAAAGTATTGCTCAAGTACGAAGGGGAAGGTGTTGCTGCTGGGAGTCCAGACATTAAAAAGAAAATCGTATTTTTGCACATATGTATTTGTTTTTTTTTTAATTTTGCGTTCCTCCGCTTCATTTATACAAAACAAGCAAACTTTTTCTATATAAACACTGCTTTTTTTGCCGCTTATAAAAATCCATTTAATTCACATTTAAAATGTAAAACATTTTTTTAATTCGAAATTTGCAATTTTTTCGAATTTATATTTTAATTCTACACAGTGAATAAAAAAACCGTATTTATGAAAATTCATAAAATTTTTGTAGAAAATGTCATTTTACTTAAAAAATTTTAAATACACCTCTTGTCACCAAAAAGTGAAAAAATCGTGGTGAACATATTCTATAGGCAAGCAAAATAAACATAAATATGCGTAAAGAGATGGATTTCGTATTTTTCCTAGGTAGCGTTTAGCTTGCACTAGAGATTGTGATATTTTTTATTTTTTTATTGAGTGTGCCTAAAAAGTTGAATTGATTTTGAGCAGTTTATGCGTATATTCCTATCATGTTAGAGCACCACTGACCCAGTTTGGCATCGCCTGCCCCGCACTGCCATACCGAACGTACTGCAAACAAAAATGGACTGTCGAGTGCAGTGCTCAGAGTTTGCGCAAACTTGTGCTGCATTGCCGACTTTTGGGTTAGTGCTTCTGCTGAATTTTCGCGGGCGGGCTATATTTCATATTTAACACATACTTTGCTGAATTTTTCTAATTTTTGTTTTAGTCGCACACGGTTTTTGCATTTGCAGTTATTCATAAAAATCCATCAAGTTTTTGTAGAAAATACTATCTATTAAAAACATTTTTTTTAAAAAGTCATG